TATGTAAACTCTCATATTTAGTTAGATACTTTCTAAGCTCAGCATGTGTCCAAGGTGTCCAAAGACTAAACCGCTGTCCTGGAGATTAGCCCTAGCTTGACTCTGCTGCCACCTGCTGGTAGAGTAGTTCTGCGCAGCTCATCAAAAATAAACTGCAGACTGATCAACACTAACATATCATAGTTTAATACAAATTACCCCCCGCTGTTTTCAGGATCTAAATTTTCTTATAGCGCACTGAAGACTTGTTGAATTACTCTATCCATCTAATGAAGAGCTCAAAGGAAACAACCTTTTATATTTGCTGTTTTATCCTTGATAATTAGGGTTTTTGCAGTATTGTGTAAATTGTTTCTTTTTTCTATCTAAAATTTTAAACCATGAAACGTAGCCTATTGCTCATTAATAATGAATAGGTGTCTGCTGTTAAGCGAAATATCATTGCTAGATTCGCAAATAAAATGCTTTTACTTTGAAAGGTCAGTCCGGTATTTTCGCTGCTGGCATAGAAATGCATAAATTACTGCTGAACACTTCTACTTTGCAGGGTTATCCTATTTCATTAGGACAAATATTATTACATGTGAGATTACAGTGTTTCTGTGATAGAAAAATCGTTATGAGTCACTTTGTAAGTCATACTTATCTGTAGGGATGAAGCTTTTGTTTTGTCACAAAGAAACATAATATCGGAAGTCTCCTTTTCAGTTAGAAACATTAAAACACAAAAATAGGTTGATGGTGGATAAGTAGGCCTATCTGTCAAAATAAAAGTACTAGCGTCCTGCTTTGACATTTATTATGAATTAGAACCATCAGTATTGCATAAGATCGTGTATAGACTTTATATTTGCACTTTACTAACTGGCTGTGAGAAAATTAAGACTTTAGTTGTGGACTCCTGTAGATTTAGAGAAACCAAGCTTTTATTTTGAAGAAAGAAACCCCCGACTGGAAATCTTGTTACACTGATAACGGAACAAAGACACAACATGATGACACGTTAACTGTCACTGGGATGGAGGGAAATCCCTAATGAATTTGGCATAAAAAAACACCATGTAGGTCTACACGTCAGTGTTAAAGTTGACGGTGAGTCGGGAGCGGGTTAAAGTGAGCTACAGCTCAGTGACTGCTGTTGGAGGAAGCTGACGTGTTTGTGGTATTATTGGACTACGTTAGCTAAATCCTAAAAAAGCACAGTGGTAAGGACTGATCCTAACACCATGACGGATAATAAAGAACCAGCGGGACTCTACAGTGGAGTCCGGGAATTTATCGCGGCTGCTAGTGGGAGTGGAACTTAGCTATAAAATATTTCCTTGTGGGGCTACTGTACGGTTTAAGACATAGTTTGAAATGGGACGGGCGAGCCTTGAGGATGGGGCGGACTGTTCTGAAAGGGATACGTGTTTTTTTTAAGCCCCATGAATTACGCTATCAGAGGTGGAAGGTGTATTTTTCCACATCAGGTAGACACGTATAATGCTCTACACAGAGATGTTGGATGTCCATGTACGTCAGCACCTCCCCAGACAACGGCAGCATTCATACATTTCCACTCCATTCACCGCAGAGCTCAGCTGATCGGAGGGTGAGCAGCAATGGCTCTGAAGTCAAGGAGACCGTGGACGACCGTGATTTTCGGTGTCTTTCTCGGGTTCACCGCGTCCTCCTGGCTCATCGTGCCTCAGGTTCTGGAAAGTAAAGGGAAGAAATCTCCCATGTGTCTGTACTACAGTGACTCCTCTGTCGGTAAAGGTCCCGCTAACCCCGGGAACACCGCGGCTCTCAAAGACCGGGACAGCCCGCACTTGAGTCAGGAGGAGGACAGGTTGTTCAATACAGGGAACAGTAGCGGAGACACCGGGACACCGGTAAGCAAACCGAAGCATTTCCTCTATGTAGGTGTGATGACAGCGAAAAAATATGTACAAACTCGCGCCGTGGCTGCGTACAGGACCTGGGTGAGCTCTATACCTGGGAAGGTGGAGTTCTTCTCGAGCGATGGTTCGGACACCGTCCACGTGCCTGTCCCCGTCCCGGTGGTTTCGCTGGCAGGTGTGGACGACTCGTACCCGCCACAGAAGAAGTCATTCATGATGCTCAAGTACATCCACGACCACTACCTGGATAAATATGAGTGGTTCATGCGGGCTGATGATGATGTTTATATAAGAGGTGATTATTCTGTGTGTGTGTGTGTGTGTGTGTGTGTGTGTGTGTGCGCGCGTGCCGTGAGAGTTTAAGTCAAGGAGATACTATGTTGCTGTAGTCAAATATTAAGCTATGAAAAAAATGATTATTTAAAATAAACCACTATAAACCATAGGCCTATATTTTAAACTGTATTCACTTTCAAAGACCAATAAGATTAAGTTTTAGAATGGATTATTGCATATGATAGACTAAGGGTTTGGAGGAAAGGATGAAGGGATGAATGGGTGAGGGTTGAGGGTGGAATGGATGAGGGATGAAGGGACTATGGTCAGAGAATGAATGGATGAACTCAGTGACGGCAGTGTTGGCAGCCGGAACCAGACCAGCTGATTTGGCCCACTTCTGGTGCGTCTGGTGGTGAGTCTCAGCTGAATCTGGCAACTAATGGTGCCCGACTCATTTCTTGTGGCGTGCCAAGTTTAGGCCAATGCTGAGCCAGGTCATTTTTGATAACAGCTCAGTAACTGCAGTGTTGGCAGCTGAAATCGGGCCAGCTGTTTTAGCCTGATTTTGGGGTGTTATTCATGCCGAGTCTCAGCCGAGTCGGGCAACCAGACGCGACCCAACTAATTTCATTCAGGTCATTTTGGCTACCTGTGAAGGGTTATGGATGACAGGATTAGGGTCGAGGGATGAAGGGTGGCACTCTGGGCCATGGGCACGTGCAATGACAGATGTGTTGTTTAAAGGCAGGAACGCAGGAGGGAGACAGGGAGTTAAGACTGAGAGTGGGGGAGTTGTGGGGGAGTTGTCTCTTCCTAAACTTGTCTTCGGATAGAGCCCCCGCAGCGTTCTTTATGCAGAAAGGAAGTGAGAAAAAGATGTAAAAGGGATTGGGTGGGTTGGATGTGAGAAATGCATCAAAGAGAAAGAGAATGGATCCAGTGTGCTTAAATACTTTTGGGCGGCAATGGGATATGTTCGAGGGGTTGTCTTTGTTTCCGAACCTAGTTTTATAAAACTACACGTTTTACATTTAACATACCAACAATAAATCTTGCCAACATCTTAACTCAATTGTAATGCATTTTTTCAATTGTGGAATTGCGTGATAACAACAAAACAGTGACATAGACAAACCACAAACAATAGGACAGACAATGGATAGACATACACACATTGAAGTTTATAGATTTTGTTGCATTTAAATGCATTTAAAGGCAGGGCTGGTTTATCCATTGGGAAAAGCTCTGTGCCACTCAAGGGCCAAATATTAAAGATCAGTGTGTAGGATTTAGGTCATATATTGGCAGAAACGGAATACAATATAAATAGTAGGTTTTCTTTAGTGTATAATCACCTGAAAAATAAGAACTGTTGTGTTTTCCTTACCTCAGAATGAACCGTTTATATCCGCATAAGGAGCAGGTCCTTGTTTGTGGAGATCGCAATGTTGCACCGACATGTTTCAGTAGCCCAGAACAGACAAACCAAACACCGATTCTAGATGGGGCCATTTGCATTTCCGTGTTTTTGCGTCAGCCACCATAGTTATCAGCCCAACTGCAACGAGCAACAACGTCAAAAACGTCAGTACAGTAACGTCAGTGTTTATACCAGTTTAAATCACCTTGGCTCTCATTTATAAACATTGCATACGCATAAAATGAGGCCTGAACGAGTATACACCACTTCCCACACAAAAGTTGTGATCTATGAAAACAGACTTGATGAGTGAAACTTTGACTCATGAACACTTTGGATGGGAAAGTGGTGATGCAGATGGTGAGGTCATGTGGAAGCCAGATAGCCAGATAGTTGTTTTATAAATGAGAAACCTAGTCCGTTTGTTTTGGAGAGGAAGAGGATAATGTGGGGATAATTTGGCTCCTGGTAAAAACCTCCTGAACATCTGGATCTGAAGTTATCAGAGAAAAAAGATGAGCACACTTAGCAGGTAGTGGAGGAGATGCCAAACATGCCAAACTGCATCTGATATGTACACTGGTTAGTAACATGAAACTGCTTTATTCAGGGTTTTTCTGGTTTAGATCACCTGGTCTGTTTGTTCTAGAGAGGAAGAGACTTCTGTAGATAATTCGGCTCCCAGTAAAAACCTCCTGAACAATGCACACTGAAGGAATTCTAGCTGGAAGAAGTTTCAGCTGGTTGCAAACTGCAATTCAGTGCTTGATGCTACAAAATCCCTTGGGACTGATCATTGGCTCATTGGCACTGAATGACAACTTTGGTCTTATTTTTGTAGTTCATAAATAATAACAACACTGTGCTCACCAAATTAATGGATGAGATCTGAGAACATGACCGCAGATTTTAAAAGAAGTCTGAAGGGTCGAGAGACACAAGCAGGTTGGAAACAAACCCCCAGATTAGACAAACTTGTCCAACGATAAACAATAAAACTGTCACCCAAAATTTTTGTTGTACAAGTCCATCACAGTTTACTGACCCACTTCCTGCTCCAATGTTGACTCACTCTAGTTTCGTGCACACAGTTTTCCCATTTGATGAGGGATTATTAGCGATGTTGTGGGGGCAGTTAATTTTAGTTTTACCTCCAAAACTTACTAAGTTATGGGCTTGTTTCCAACCTGTCCGATCCCCTGACTGCTCTTGACCCATCAGACTTCCTTTTAGATCATAAGATAGAAGATGTTGTATGCTATAAAGATTGTAAAGCTCCATGAAGAATTTTTTTGATATTGGCATTTATAAATGAAATTGACCAGACTTCACTAAAAGCAATGATGGCCATAACTTCTGAAATAAGTCCCAGACTTTTATAAAGCTAAATCATCCTATAACTTAATCCCTAAACTGCTTTTAAATGACTGAGTTTGACCTCATTCTACTGTGAGTCAAAGGAAAAAAAGGGCTCTTTGTGCCCAGTTAACATCCAGGTACATTACCATTCGCTATAGAAGCATGCAGGTTTACTGATCTTTTGTTTGTGATGTAATTTAGGTGAGACTGACGATGGAGTCCATTTTATTTGCTTATCCTACTATCCTACTATTATCCTACTATCCTACTATTAAAATGGAGAAACCTCTGTCCCTCCGTCCGTCCGTCCATCTGTCTGTCTGTCATCATCCTTTTTCCTCCTCACTGCTTAGACCTACTTCTCTGAACTTGCTTTCATCTTGGTCATGTGCAGACAGCCACGATGCCGTTTTTGCATTTTACCCACATTTCTACTGTTTATATTCACGTTTTTGTCCACTACCCATTCATACTGTGAGCACCATTAGTAGTGCGAGCTGCGCATGTGCTGAGACCACTTCGAAAACACCTGCGCTGGGACCACAGTTTAGCTGGGAAGCCTTTATCTCCAACACTTGCGGATCGACACCTGTATGTGTGTACCTGTGTGCCCGCGCATGGCCCCGGGCATGCGTGTGCCTCCGTGCCGTCAGCTGAAACTATGCTCCATGTATTTTGCCATAAAGCATTGTTCTAAATACAGTGTGCATTGTTTGTCTTACATTAATATTTATAACACAGTGCATTTACAGTGCTCTGATTTTGCATCTCCTCTAATATACTGTTTTTGATTTCTTAGGCCTCTATACATAATACATCCCCGGGTATGGACTAGTTGTATGATGATTTATGGGCTACCCTTTTTAGTAAAATGTTCTTCATTTCTGATGTGATCTGGTGAATGATTATTTTTTTAAATAAACACAAGAAGTTTGTGCTCTAAAGAAAGGATCAGCACTCAGTGAATAACTTCCTAAGCCCTATGATAAGCTATTAGGGCAAGGCTTAACTATACAGACCAGTGAGCAGTGATAACTAACATGTCTTTGGGGTCATCAGGTGGGAACCTCCTTTCACCAGTGTTTCGTCTAGTTGGTCCCACGACACCTCCAGGAGGCTAGACAGTGATCTCTGGCGTCCCAGAGACACTCCCCTAATGCCAGGTCTCACTGCTCCCCGCACCAACCCAATAACCTCCTTTACCTTACTTACACATGGCTTTCTCAGCACAAACAGCACTGAGAGAAACCTGAGCTGCGTTTAGGAAGGGAACCTTTTTGTGGCTGAATTATTGGTAGAGCCCAGGATAGAAGAATAATTCTCAGAGTTGTGTTTATTTCTGAAGTGTTTCACTACCACAATGGAACATGTCTTGTCTGTATGACTTACTGTATCATGAAAAAAAAATCCCATCTTATTTCCCCCTCTGCCAGGTGAGAAGCTGGAGGTGTTCCTGCGGTCACTGAACAGCAGTAAGCCCCTTTACCTGGGACAGACAGGCCTGGGCATGGCTGAGGAGTTGGGCAGATTGGCCCTCGAACCTGGAGAGAACTTCTGCATGGGCGGCCCAGGGATGATCTTTAGCAGAGAAGTTTTACGCAGGATGGTTCCTCACATCAGTACCTGTCTGAGGGAGATGTACACCACCCACGAGGATGTGGAAGTTGGCCGCTGTGTGCGGCGATTTGGAGGAACACAGTGTGTGTGGTCATATGAGGTATGGACTGAGTCTGCTGTTTCTAGAGTATCAGTGACAGTCAGTAGGTAGTAGGTAGTAATTATGGTGAAGTGAAATGAAAGCTTTTCAGTACTGATTTAGTTTTAAGATTTCATTAAAACCAACTGCAAGGAAAACTAGTTTTGTAATGGAGGCCCTCTTATTTGGTGATAGACAATCATAGCAACACCAGTCCACTTTATATCAGGGCTTTTATAAGAACATCATTCACTTTCATTGCGCATGGAGGGGTTTATATAGACTAGAGAGAACATTATAGATGGATGATAGACATCCACTGTATGTAAGGAAGAGTGAAAAGGCAAAATCTCTAAGATCTGCACCCATTATAATATTAACAGTTTAGTGGTTTTAATGACTTATCTTTATTTATTATATTTATTTCCTGAATGGTGAATATTAGCAGAAGGAAAACAGTAACATTTCTGCTCCTGCTTCACAGACTTAAGAGGCGACATGATAGAACCAAACAAGAAAAAGCAACAGCAATAGATGCACAAAATGTTTTTTATATTTTATTTTTTTGGTCAGTGACACATTAGAGGGACAATTCAAATTTTGTGAAGTGGAGTTGTATGGGGTACTTATCCATAGATAGTATATTACATACAGTAGATGTCAGTCGGTACAACCACAGTTTGGAGAAGCAGGCTGGAGTCTGACAAGCAAGTTATTCAAATCTATTGCTGTGGATGGGGGCCAGTAACAAATCGTATTTTAGCAACCTTAAAAAAAAGTCCCACCGAAAAAAAAGTCAATATGTAATATGTGTACAATATATTTAGAATATTTCCACTGCTTTACCTTAATGTCAGACTGATTTACAATGGGGAAAATGACGCCATTACATCGCTATATTGAAAGCCAGACTCCATTAAGAAAAACTTACATTTTAGCTTGCTAACCACAAGAGCTGCTGGTCTACCACTGCTTTGAACAGTTGTTTTACGTTTAAAAGGATTAGTTCAGATTCACCAAAATCACACAATAACACAAACTAACTAATCGAAGCAGAGGTAGACCAGCAGCTCGCATGTTCAGCAAGGTAAAATTACTGTTTTCCTTAATGGAGTCTGGTGGCTTTGACGAGGTCATAGATGGGAAACTGAAGCCTTTAACAATAGTTAAGCTGGAACGGGCTGTCTAACGGAAAGGGAAAATGGTGAAAATACTCTCAATATAACATACACTTAAAGTGATGTTGGTTTTGTGAAGTGGGACTTTTTTCAGGTGACTAAAATACGTTTTGTTGCTGACCCCTTCACAGCGGTGCATTGTTTAGCTTTCGTGTCGGACTCGAGCCTGCTTTGCCAAACTGACATCTACTGTAGGTAATTCTGCGTTTCCACCAAACACTTGCAGTATGGTACCTTTGGAACCAAAAGTTACCCTTTCTGACATGGTACCTCGACCCTTAGTCCATTTAGAGCTTCCTCCACAAACAGTTCTCTTAAATGTGGGCGGGGTTATTGTCACTCACTGCTCCGTCCAGCACTCACTGCATTTTCTCTTCACCGGTGACACAGATGAAAGTCTGCACCTCATTTATCATTCACAGAACGGAGTTACATGCCAAAATTTTCAGAACAAAATAGAACAGGCTGCAGTGAGAGTCTCTCTCAATGGGATATTTGAAAGTAGCTTGTTTGTGCATTTGGTCCTTTTCAGGCAAGCGCAGGGGTCTAGTGTTGCTGTAGCCCACAGGAACTATACTCTACAATGCTTTTTTTTCTCCAAGTGAGGATTAGAATATTTGCAGTTCACGTAATCCGGTTGAAATTGATATATATTTTTCAACGCTTGAAGATCCATTCATTATTAAAAGTGTATGTCATCCAAGAGAGGCAATAAAAACTAATGGAGTGGTCAAAGTGAAATTTAAGGTATGTTGATGGATTCACATTGTCAACTCATGCATTGAGTAACATTCCACCTTTAAAGTTGCTGGCTGTGGGCCCAGTGAATTAAGTTAATTTTTTTTCTCAGTCTACAGCTGTAGATCATACAGTAGTTTACGAATGTATGTAAGACTTGCCACAGTATGAACAGTGGTTACATACGCCTCAAAACCAGTCACAACTTAGCCCGGAGCAAGACTGACTGTCTGCTATTGACCAGTCAATGGACTGCAGTGTTTCTACCTTCACCTTTTAGCACCAGATCTGTGTGCTAGGTACCCCATCAGAGGGATGACCAAAATGGGGACGGTTAGAAGCGGTTCTGTTGGTACCATCCACAACTTTTCACAGAGGAAACATAAAAAATGTGTACTGAACTGAACTGAACTGTATCAGAATGCTTGGTGGAAACAAAGCTTAATATACTGACTATGGATAAGTACCCCACACAACCCCACATCAAAAATCCCGAAACTATCCCCTTAAAAATATACATATATTTGATTTTAACCAATTTGTTTAAATTTGTGGATTAGCTTTTTTTGTTTCATGTTTTTTTTTTACTTTAAGTATGTATAATTTTGTCTTTTAATTTGTTATTTTATCAATATAGTTGATTGAGTTTTGATTTTTATACCATTCCCCACTTAGCATAGCCTGCACTCTTGAATGCATCTTTTTCTTTTTCCAAATGTGCTGCCCACATAGTAGCAAAGACTTATCAGTATATTGGTCAGTTAAATACATTCTTTAGCTAAGTGGGCAGTAAATCATTAAAGAACAAAGCCATTGTGTTAGAAAGCATAGTTGGTCTATTTTAATCAATGTGGCATATGGTAAAAAGAGTCCAGTGTTATTTGCTCTGGTACTAGGATATGATCCATGCTCTTATCATGGTGTTGCATCTCTCTCCATAGATGCAGCAGCTCTTCTATGAGAACTATGAACACAACAAGAAAGGTTTCATCGAAGAGCTTCACAGTAGCAAGATCCACAATGCCATTACACTTCACCCCAATAAAAAGCCTGCCTACCAGTACCGCCTCCACAGCTACATGCTGAGCCGTGAGATCTCCAGGCTTTGTTACCAAACCCTTCTGCTCCACCGCGAAGGCCTGATCATGAGTTACCTCAGTGATACAGAAGTACTGTGGGAGGACCAACAGCTGGGGTCCCCACCTTCCTACATGCGCTATAAGCCCAGTGAGAGAAATGATGTAATTGAGTGGGATTTCCTGACTGGCCGTCATGTTTATTCTGCTGCTGAGAACAAGATTGCCAGGCAAAGCCTTGGGAACTTGCTTCGGACTGCACTGGAAGACATTATCCTCCAGGTCATGGAGATGATTAATGAGAATTCGAAAACGCGTGGCCGTGTAATTGACTTTAAAGAGATTCAATATGGCTACTACAGGGTGGATCCAATGCATGGTGCAGAGTACATCATAGACTTACTGCTTCTGTACAAGAAACATAAGGGACGCAAAATTACAGTGCCTGTGAGGCGACATGCTTACCTTCAGCAGTCCTTTAGCCGACCCTTCTTTACTGAAACTGAAGAGTTAGATGTGGCTGAACTTGTGGCGTCCATCAACTCTGAATCCCAATCCCTGTCTTTCCTTTCCAATTCTCTGAGGTTCTTATCACCTTTCCAGGTCTATGAATCAAACAGGGAAATGTGGGAGCAAAGCCAGAGAAAGGTCAACATCCTTGTACCCTTATCTGGTCGCTATGACACCTTTGTCCGCTTCATGGAGAACTTTGAGAAAGTGTGTTTGATACCCAAACAAAATGTTAAGCTCTCTGTTGTTCTGATGGAAAGTGGGAGCAATCAGAGCAGAGGAAGACACATGCAGTTAATTAAAGACTACTACAGGAAGTATCCCAAAGCTGACCTGTCTATAATCTCCATGATGGGCAACTTTTCCCGAGGACTGGCTCTTGAGCTGGGCTCATCACAGCTTCATAATAACTCTCTGCTCTTCTTCTGTGATGTGGATCTAATCTTTAGTGGTGATGCCTTGCAGCGCTGCAGAGACAATGCTGTCCAAGGGAGACAAGTCTATTTTCCTGTTGTCTTTAGTCAGTACAACCCCAAGATAGTGTATTCTGAAAAGGCCCCAAGAGAAAACAAATTTGTGCTGACCAAAAAAAGTGGTTTCTGGCGAGATTATGGATTTGGAATCAGCTGTGTTTTCAAGAGTGATTTACTAAAAGCCGGAGGTTTTGACACCTCAATCTTAGGCTGGGGATTGGAGGACGTAGACCTGTATACAAAAGTTATTAATTCTGGTTTGAAAGTGTTACGCAGTCAAGAACCAGGTATTGTCCACATTTATCATCCTGTCCACTGCAACTCAAGTCTTGAGCAGAAACAACATAAAATGTGCCTTGGGTCAAGAGCGAGTACGTTTGCGTCAACGATGCAGTTAGCAGAGTTATGGCTGGAGAAACACATAGAGGCTGGATATAACAGAACTTCATCCTGACATTCCAGCCCACCTGGATTCCTCCATACAAGTTTACCTCAGTTCTGCTTGAGTACAGACAGTGATGGACTGTGTGTGTTGTAGCGTAACTGTGGATCACAGGTCTGTGTAGGCTGGAAAATTTGACCCAGAAAGGACCCGAGACTCCAAAACGGAGATGGACTTAATCTCCGAACTGACCTGACAGCAGGCGGGCCTTACATCGTAGGGACCCAGAGGAAATTGTACACAATGGAGTCTAGGATGGTTGTACCCAATTTGTGGGTGGCTTGTGTAAAACAAGTGTCTGCTACCTTATCCAGTTCCAAACCAGCTGGGAAAACCACTGACTAAATACAAATTGTCTGTTAGTTGGTACGTTGGACATTGTACAGGTCACTACAACATTACAGATTTATTGATTTAATATTTACTGTAACAATTATGCAAATATGAGCTTTGAGACCTCTATTGTATTTCCTTAGGGTTTGGGTCAGGGTTAACTGACACTTACCTTTTTTATTCCATGTATAAATAACCAAGGATACTTTGGAGAGTCGCAAACTTGGGATTAAAAAAAAAAAAAAAAAAAAATGACCCAAAGAACAAGCTACATCACCCAAACTACCTGACATGTGATTTAAATGTAATAATGGCAGGAAATGATATCAAAGAAAAAAAATTATATTATTATCATAATGTTATAGTCAATCATAAGGATGTTGAAGTGTTGCAGGTTTCGTTACGCAGCAGAATCATCTCCTGCAATGCAGTTAACCAGTGAAATGAATAGTTTGTCACTTTGCTCTTCATTAGTGAAGTGACTGTGGAATGTGGATGGCTGCTGTACTGTGAGCAGCATCATGTGCTGGGTTATACAATCTGTGTGTTTGTGATTCTGTGTGTGAGGAACAGGGAGATGGCCCACTTTAATGCACTACCGTAATCTACCATAATCTCCCAGTGAGTCTTAAGAAATTTCCTCCTGCAGACCTGAAGCTGAGGCTGCGTGGGTACCATCTCTGTCAAAATGATTTCCTGTTGGGCTACTGTTCTAATATTATTTAGCTTGTTGCTCAGCGTTTTTCTAATTTACCCTCTCAAGTCTAGTTGTTTTCTCTCTGGCCTGTGGTAGCCATCAGTTGTTAAACTATTTTTTCTTGATGCCAAACCATGTCAAGTCAGCAGCTCACTGCTGTCCTGACTGGGTTTTCTTCCACTAATTGAAATGTAACTGTAGAGGACAGCTAACGTAATGTTTACCATGTGTAGAGCAGTTACCACAATTATGGCATTTGCTTAAATCCTTTCAAGCAAATGCCCGAAGCTGCAAGGGTGTTCCCACAAAAGGTAAAAAGTTATTAAAAGCTGTCGTTTCCACCAAGGTCCGCAGAAGTGCTAGCTAGCTTGTGGCTGCAAGCTGTAGCAAGAGAATGGAAATCACTTAAACAACCAAAGATTTATACATAGACAGTTTACCAGTCATCTGAAGTTTGGTGGAAATGTTATTCCAGGCCAAGTTTTTCTTCTGGTTGTCCTCATAAGTTGCTAGCACTGTAACTCCAGATACCAACATTATCATCTCCGCCATCTTGTCTTCTTTCTGATTCTGTAATGCCTGCTATTTAATCAACTAAAGCCAGACGACAACTGCTGGAACTACGGCAAAATCTGTGTGCCTGCACATGGCTTGCAACTGCTTCATACCTCAACCGCTTTGTTAGAAACCGCTTCCCCTTTGCCACCTTGCCCTTATTGAAATGACTGGAGGCAGGAAGTTACTGTGCGGCAGTGTGAAAGGGTTTTAAATCCTAGTTTGGACATAAATCCCATTTCTGAACCTAATTATTAATTAATTACAACAGTTTAGATGAGCTTTGTACCTGACCCACTGAGCCCTGGTCAAAAGACATCTACATGCCAAGATTAAAACTGGGATAAAGTTGAAAAGTTCATCGGTAACTGTATATCAGTATTTAGTTTGGATCGTCACATGGTAATTGTGTTAAAACAAAAGTTAAATGTAAACTAGATGCCTAAAAGTTTTTTACTATTCAATCGATTGAGCCCATTTTTTCCTGCAGACATCAAAGGGCCCTATTTTATAGGTTTTCACAGTTTTCCTTTTCACAGTCAGCACCCACGTTGTGTAAGTAGCAAATGTACTGTGCCCATCCGTGTGCCCATGGGTGCATATGTCTTAAAATGAGGTGTGGTAAGGCTCATTGTTGTGGGATCTCTCCTCGAATGCATTCAATTGTTCACATGGTTGTTCACAGAGATGATAAGCTTCAAAAATTGTCCTTCTAATGCCACTGTTGGAAAAGTGCAGAAAAGTGCAGGGCCCAGTCTCTGGACTTACCTGACATCACCTGGTAATTGTTTGAATGTGAGGGACTACAAAGGTTCGAAATGGTATAAATAGGAACAAGGCAACACTTTGCAGTGACACATCACATTACTTTGACAATACCAAAACATTTTACACATGGAAAGTTATAGGTTTAGGACTTTATATTTTATGTTTTTTACTTTTTTCAGGGCCAAGATGTGAACATATTCCAGACTCTTGTCTTGCAGAGTGAAATAGAGGTAATTATTAAGAAATCAATTTCTTTGTTTTTCTTAAAACAGCATCATTAAGCAAAATCAAAATAACTGGTTGGTGAATAAACTAGGTGTGTAATATAGCCCAGCAGTTCCCAACTGGTCCAGCCACTGGGTCCAGATTTCTCCTTAGTCATTAGTTCAAGGTCTCACAGTTAAATATATTCAGTGCCATACTGGCTATGTCGTTTAGCTAGTATGCTGTCCCTGTCTGGTGCTGTCGATTAGTCACTCACTCTACAGCAGAAAACGTCACTTCAAAATAAAAGCTCTGTGCTGGAAATTTACTGTACTCAGAAATATATATATTTTGTTGTTTGTTTGTTTTGTTTTTTTACAAACTTGGCGCTTTGCAAGTCACTTGTGGCCCATTTAGAATGGATCTGTGACCCTCTTTTGGACCGCAACCCACCAGTTGGGAACCACTGATATAGCCTATGCCTGCACTCACATACACATAAATCTGTGTTTCTGTGCAAATACAGTACCACATGCTGAAACGCCCATATGTCAGTCCGCCTTGCTTACTTTTGTTTGTTGTTTGTTTGTTTGTTTTCTTTTTTTATTTTTTCAGACTTTCCCTAGTAACCCTGTGTTTTGCAGTGCTATGAATTGCGGATAGTTCCCTCAGGCAAAGTCTGTAGAAATGCAGACTTCAGGAAAGTGTGCATGTAGGGTCTGCAGGAGAGTCTTCATGCACTTAAGGTTTTGACAGCCCTAAGCCCTCATGCACTTTGCGGGAACGCACCTCAAAGTCCCTGAGTCTGTGAGTGTGGAGATTGGGATTGGGCCGATGACAATAAAGTTACAGGTACACCCAGACAACATAATAAAGCTTCAGTGAAGACAGCAGTTGCATTAGGATTGGCTGACTGATGATGCAGCAGGCCATGTTATCAAAATGTTGGTACATCTCTAGTCATATCGAGCCAATCTAAATTGTGGGCAGACCTGATAGCAGTGGTGGTTTCAGTTTGACTGGACTTGGAATGGAGAATGGTTTGAGTTGGGTCAGGTACTCTGATGGAATGTTCCGATAGCTATAGTGTAGTATCTGTTTTTTTTGGTTTGTTTGTTTTGTGTGTGTGTGTGTATATGTGTGTGTGAGAGAGAGAGATTCAATTTTACACTGTTATCTCCCAAAGGACATCATTGGGCCAAGCAAAGGTTTGCTTAGCCATTACTTCATGGCTTCTCCTGGATTGTAATTAATTGTTGTCATCCTTTTCTTACTGCCGTAGTTATTATGACGTTTACACTTCTGCCTCAGGACCACATTTTACCACCCAGTGTGTTGTAGCCTTTTGCTTTAACTGATATGGTGCCCACTGCCTATTGTGTATTTAATGAAAAAGAACAATCTGGTAAATAATAGTCAGAACAAAGAGGCTTTGAGTTAGCCTAGCTCCTACAGAAGGGTACTGCTGCCACCATGACAAAACTTTTCCATGAGTAATAGTATACTAACTGTACAGACACTTTTCTTGTTGTAACAATTATCCTAATGAGATATTGAGCAAATATTTTTTGCCCTGAGTGCAGCAGCTGTTTTCAGACCTCTTAATCACAGTACACTCCTATTTTTCAGCAATACAAAAAGATGAATAATAAAGTGAAAACTGTGAGTTGAGTGTGATTATTAGACTCTTCTAGTGATAGTTGGTGAATAAAGCTTAAATATATGGCTAAATATATTGGTCATTATGCAACTGGAACATTTCTCTGTTATGTTCCAGATTTAATGTGCATTTTTTCATAAAAGAAATGTGAAAGCTCCACAATGAGTGAGATGATTCATTAGTGTTCATAAACATTTTCTGTTACATTTCTATGGAAGAAAAAAATGGAGCTGTATCCCATAACAATGATAAAACATCTCATAATTCTGAGATCCTCATCTCAGAATCATGACATCCAGCGAAGATGGATTTCTCATGGTTATGAGATACTGAGCCATATTAACAAGGTAAGGTTTGTTCCTTTTGATGAATGCAGTGCACTAATCTAAGTTTCACCGTGGAGGCTCACTTGCAGATTCTGTAAAGACTAACTTTATGGTTATGTTATATAATGGCTTTTGAGTCTGCCAGCAATAACAACTGATTATTTATAATAAATGTTTAAACACAGATATTTGCTCAGTGCTTTTATACGCTGTCTGCCTTTGTTTTCATTCTATACAAGAAGCTGAACTGGTGTACCTTTACTGTTTGATAAATCTGCATGCTTGAATAAAAGAACACTGAAGCTTTAATATGATGAAATCAACCAATTCAAAGTTATGGTGCACGTTTTCTGGTATTCAAAAGCTGGTCAGTAAGTACAAATATGAAAGATGCACACAACTTTAAAATCAACTATTTTTACAGTGGACAGTAGTCACTGTAATTTAGTATTATCACTGACAGGTGTGGGGTTATACAGCTGTAACTGTCACATCTATTCAAACATGATGCATTGCATTGTAGGACAGTCAGCAAAAAGTAGTCTACATGCCGTAGATAATACATACTTATTTATTTGTATTGTGGGGATGTCGAATTGCAAAATGTAATGCAGAAATACAGTACCACACTGAGAAGACAATATTTCTATATTTGTCCCTATTTTCTTGTGCTTTGTGGTTTTCTTTCTAGACTGAACAAATACATAAACTGTCATATTTTTGCTCCCATTTTTCAGGAGTTTAAAATCAAGATCTGAGACTTTTTCTTTCTAAAGATATTTTTTGGGGCATTTTTAACTTTATTTGATAGGACAGACATGTGTGAAAGGGGGAGAGAGAGAGGGAGTGACATGCAGCAAAGGGCCAAAGGCTGGAGTCGAACTCGGGCCGCTGCGGCAACAGCCTTGTACATGGGGCACCTGCTCTACCACTAAGCCACCGACGCCTTAAGATCTGAGACTTTTTCTATGCACACAAAAGACTTATTTCTTTAAAATTTTGGTTGCAAACTAAGCATAGCATTAGCTCAGGTAAGACATGATGTCGAGATCAGCTCTCTGCCTCAGGCTGTCCTCGTATGCGCAAGCTCGAGGAAAGGCAGAGAGGCCCCAGAACGGAGCCATACCACCAAATATAATACTGCAAATGTAAATAAATATTTGTTTGACTAAAGTGCTCCTGACTGAAATTGGTTAAGATCTGTGTTAGTGAGCACTTCACTTCTCCTTTTGTAAGATAATCCATCCACCTATCAGGTGTGGCATATCAAGATGCTGATTAAACAGCATCATTACTACACGGATGTGCCTTGGGATGGTCACAATAAAAGGTTACTCTAAAATGTACAGTTTGATCACACAACACAATGACACAGATGTCACAAGTTTTGAGGGAGCGTGCCATTGGCATGTGAAGTTAATGTTTATTTCACTGCCATAAGCAGTCTGTAATTATGTTTCCTTGTTGGCAGTACATCCAATCAGCTTCACAACCAGGACCTCCACATCCAGTGTCTTAACCCGCATGACAGTCTGAGATCAGTCACCTGAACGGCTGATGCAACAATGGCTTTATACACCTAAATAATTTCTGCACAAACCATCAGAAACCATGTCAGTGACGCTCATCTGTATGGTTGTTGTCCTCACCAGGGTCTTGAGTGTTCTCTTCACATACGAATCCTGATCTACACTGTACCAAGCAGATGGCAGATGGCTTGTATGGTGTTATGTGGGCGAGCAGTTTGCTAAAGCCAACGTTGTGGATAGAGTGCTCCATAGTGGCGGTGGGGTTATTGTTGGGCTGGCATAAGCTACAGACAGCAAACACAGGTGCATTTTCTTAGTGGCAGTTTGAATGCTCAGTGACGAAATCCTTAGATCCATTGTCATGCAATTCATCTGCCACCATGACCTCATGTTGCATCGTGATAATGCACTGTTCCATGTTGCAAGGATCTGTACACAATTTCTGGAAACTGAGAACATCCCAGTTCTAACATGGCTTGCATCACCAGACATGTCACTGGATTAGTATGTATGATAGTCTGTTCCAATTCCTGCCAATATCCAGCAACTTCACACAGCCACTTAAGAGGAGTAGGCCAACATTCCACAGGCCACATTCAACATCCTGATCGACTCTATGTGAAGGAGATGTGTCGTTTGGCATGAAGCAAATGGTGTCACACCAGATACTGACTGATTCTTTGGGGTATCTGTGACCAAGAATGCATCTCTGTAGCATCAGTCATATGAAATCCAAACAAATGTCCTTTTGCAAGAAAAAATGCAGCTTTTAGAGTGTCCTTTTATTATGGCAATCCCAAGGCAAACCTGTGTAGTAATGATGCTGTTTAATTAGCATCAGAGGAGGATCTGGACTAGGCCCTGAATGTCCTCAAATCCTGAAAACGCCCCTTCATACACCTGAGCTGGCTTTGGCTTTTTTCCTTATTGGACAGGACAGTATTAAGTATGAAAGAGGAAAGAGAGAGGAAGGATGACATGCAGCAACGGGCCAGGGCCTGGAATTGATCTCAAGGCCACTGCAGCACAGGTAATGCCTTTGTACATGGGATGCCTACTTTACCTGCTGAGAAAATGGATGCCCCATTTGATAAGTATTGTTGTTTGTTCATTTACTGGCCCACATGTCATTTTAGAAAAGTGGCCCCCAGGCAAAGCAAGTATTTTAAATTACTTAATTTAGTATGTATTACTGACTTAAGGTCTAAGGATTAAAAAAAAAAAAGAAAAAGGACCACAACAAAAAATAAGTTGTTATTATATATTGTCAAAGTGAATATTAATGTAGCTTAAAAATAGCTATTGGTAGTTTTGCGTAGCTGTTGGTTAATTTATTGTTGTTTGTACAAATTTTGCTTTATTGTACAATTAAATATAGTTTAATTGATTTACAATATAATTTGCCAAGTTGACGAGATCTACTAGACTACTCTTTATCTTAGCTTTTTTAGT